TACAAATACCCGTCCCCTCAAATTATTAATAAAAATTACTATTAAACAACTTTTCCTCATTTTTTTTACTTTTTAATAAACTTACAGTTCTCTTGCTTGGTTCGTAAGTTTTAAACAATTCCTTTGACTTACTGTTACCTATAAGCAAACCAAGTCTAACAGTTTTTAAAAATAAGTTGCAGAATTGACTGTTCAGGATTAATTCTTCCAGGTATATGGTGGATCTTTTCAATATGTAGGTTTAGGTCTTTTTTTTAATTTCAGGAAATATTTCCTGATTTACAATTTTAAATATTAATTCTGGTTTGTTGCTTTTTTTTCTTCTCTAGAAATTGCAATAATACATATGTTGAATATTTTATCTGTTTCCTATAACTATATCCTTCTCTCATCCATTTTATCTTTTTTGAAAGTGTCTGCAATATTTTTGGGGTAGAAGACCTCTTCTCAGGTCTATCCTCTAATCCCCTTGTTGTACTTTCAGTCTTATTTATTCTCTGTTGGGTCCCTTGATATTTGATCTTTATTTTTTGAGATGATTTTTTTCCTTTAATTTCCCTTTTGAGTTTTCATCAATTTTAATTTAAGACCTTCCTGCTGTTCATCTATTTTTACCAAGTTTTTAATTTATAATTTTTATGTCTCTTAATATCTGCAGTTATTTCTTTTAGTTATTTTAAATTCATGTTAATGTTATGTTTTAGTATTTCTCTGCTTCATGACTGAATTTTTCAAATTTGCTTGCCATTGAAAATTTGCATTGAAAAAGAATAGCTATGTATAGATATTGGAATTTTTTTCATTTTTTCACTTTTTTTCTTTTCCTTTCTTTTCTTTTTTTTCTCCATTGGGTTTTCCTGGACCAGCAATAGCAGACATCCTATGCAGAGAGTTGTAGAGAGGCTTTTGTGTGGCTTCCCAAATTTCTCAGATCAGGGGATCCCTCTTACATTCTTATAGTGAGGCAAGTTTCTTTTATAAGTGGCACCTTTTCTTTGTCTTCTGATTCTCGATTATTATCCTGTTTTACTGACACTCTTGTCTTTATACACTTCTTTTTCCTTTGACATCCATACTCCAAAGATTCCTCTCCCTTCCAAAATCTCTCCCTCTTTTCTAGCAGTGCCTTTTCTCGGTGCCTTCTCAAGACTTCCAGTTCTCATTCCATGCACTCTCCAATACTCTTTGCTTCAACTGCACATTCACGAGTGCTCCTACCTGCCAGGTCCCAGATCTTCTCTCAGTATTTTCCATTTGTGTTTGGAGCGTTTGCTGCAGGCACTGAACTCAAGTTGATTGAACCATGTGTTCTACCACTATTGGGACTACTTTCTCCTTTCCTTTCTCCTGGGATGCCCTTACCCAAATTCCCACTCTGCTCTGAGCCCCAGAGCCATCTTCCTAGTCTTTGGAGTCTCAGTCTTCTCTGTCCCCTCTAAATACTCCAGGTTCAGGCTCTGTGTTGATCATTATGGTTTGTAAAATGAAGGATCTGTAGATTCTAATTCATGAAGCCACCCATCTTTTTCCTGCTTCCTTTTTACTTTTTTAAATAGTTTTTCCATTGGTTCCTTGAGCTTAAATGCTACTTGATTCTATGAGCATCAGCACAAATTAAGGATCAGGTTGATACAATAGTTAACTAAATTACATTCTGCTTGTGATAAAAGCATTTTTGGTACATTTGAATATTTAACCAGGTCATTAGATAGTCACAACAGAGATACAACATTTAAGAGATTAGATAAGAAAGATTCTCCACAGATTCAGCTGTGAACACCTCACTCACCTGCTTCATTTCCAGAAATGAATTTAGGATGAACTATGTGTAATAAGTAGTGTGTTAAGTCCTCTTACTTGAGGATGATTATTATTTATATTGAGAACATGTATGTAGTGGGTTGTATCTACTTGGATATAAAAGAGGGAGATTTCTCTCTGATTTTGCACCCTCTCAGAAGACTGTGAAGCACATCACATTCTGGTTTAATGCTTCTTCAATAATAATCCCATTTTTTATTCTCTGCTACCTTAGTGGAGAAGGTTTCTGGGTTCAGAGAGTATTTTGTTTTCAATTCTACTTTCTTCTCCAACACTTGAAAGATAATGGCTTTTTATTCCCCTGACGTTGAACAGATTCCTAATATTTCACTCAGCTCACTTGTATTTTGAGTGTTTGTTCAAGTTAAGGCACAAAGATATAGCTCATTGTACACTAATTATAATACATTCTTTTTAAAATAGAATAGTATGTTGTTTTTAACCCCAACTAACCAGTCACCTTACTAGAATTGTCTCTCAAATTCCTACTCCAAAACTTGTCATTGAACAATTTCTGGACTTTATCTTCTGCTTTGCGTGGTTTTTGCATTTGCGTGTATTATAAATATTAATTTCTTTTGCTCAGAAATGAAGTTCTATGAGAACCATTTCCTTAATCTAACTGTTCTTTTATGTTGTGTATAGATGCAGCCCGCAGCCCCTGGGCAGCGAATGAACTGGCACCAGTCTGCAGCCTGCCAGGAACTGAGTGCACAGCAGGAGGTGAAAGGCAGGTGAGGGAGAGAAGCCCCACCTGCACCCACAGGTGCTCCCCATCGCTTGCATCACCACCCCACCCCATCAGATCAGCGGTGGTATCAGACCCTCATAGGAGCACAAATTCCATTGCAAACTGCACATACGAGGAATCCAGGTTGCGTGCTCCCCATGAGAATCCAACGCCTAATGATCTGAGGTGGAGCCGAGGTAGCAGTTACACCCCTGTCCCTGTCCCTGACCCCCTCATCCATGGAAAGACTGTCTTCCACGATACCAGTACCTGGCATCAAAAAGATTAGGGAATGCTGGTCTATAGTACCCAGTATGATATTGCACACACAACAAATATCTCTTGATTTATTTCTGATCTCCTGTGGTTTTGACATTACACAAATAATAACTAATCTCTCCAGGAAATCTTGTTTCTGACAAAATTTTAAGTAACCAGATTACATTTCTACTGTCTGCATTTGTTCTGATTCGACATCTTTCCACACCTGATGCTCTGGAAGTGTTTTCACCAGCAGCTCCAGTGGTGGCTGCATTCCCCACTCCAGTTGTTCCTAATTGAAAAAAACAACAGTGCTCAGTCTGCACTGGGGTTTCCAGAATTAACAAAAAAACTACAGGACACCCAGTTAAATTTGAATCCCAGATAAACAGCAAATACCATGTTCTAATTACTGCATGGGACATACTTATACTAAAAAAATTATTCCTTATTTATGTGAAATTCAAGTTTAATTGGCATCCTCTGTTTTTTCTGGCAATCTAGTCTACATAGATGGCTATGATGAAAGTACTCTTGGAAAAAATTTCAGAGGTCTTTTTGGAGCGGGAATGAGGAGACACTAGGACTTAAACTATCCATGATCCTTTGCCCTAAAATTATAGCCGTGGCTAAATTCACTTAAACCTATAAGAATTTGAGTTCCCAGCTAAGCTTATGATGCGACACCACTAAAGTAACTAAGTGAGCCAGGGCCTGGACTTCTGAGTTTCCCAGGTGGGCTGGAACCAGTGAAAGATGTTCTAGCTGTGTTCCACTGTCAGATCTGGTGGTAGTTCCAACAGACTGTCCTGTTCTACCTGATGAACACAGTCCTAGGAGAACACATACATTATTGTGATAACTCAGTACTGTAGTTCTTTTGAAGGGGAGATTTAGAGAAAGCATAAAATAAAAATTTTCTTGAAAATATTAGTTATTTATACACCATTCTACATCTTTTGCTGGATGGCATTTGATTAATACCAAGTGAAATTAGCAGGGTTCTGATGAAAGACTGTCCTCTTTGACAAAAGTCACAGCCTCAGAATGACATCCTCCACTCACCTGCTGTGCCTGCAGATGGTGTCACTTCAATGCTTGGGGTTCCAGTTGTTTCACCAACTGATGGTCCAGCAATCCCTTTCAAATAAACAATAAATATCTATTATGGTCTTTGATTAATCATAGCAGATTGTGCTCATCTCTGCTTTCAAAATATCTTTTGTTTACACTTCTCCATTTCCAAAAATGGCTCACTCTTTCTAAAAATTGATCATAAAAATCTTGAATGATAGTTAGCATCCCTAAGCATGCTTATATATTTGTTGCTTGTAGATAAGACTGTTTATTATTTACTCATTTAATATTCAGGTATTTGAGCCTAGTAATTCTCAACCCAGGCTGCACATTGGAACCATGAGGCTTTTAAAAAATATTAATGCCCAGTCCCTTCTTCCAGAGATCCAGATTCAATTAGTCAGTGAAGAACTCTTCAGTACATATTTTCAAAAATTTCTCTTGTTGATTGTAATTCATAGCCAGGATTGCAAACCATGATCCCAGCCCTACTCCAGACTCCCAGTCTCAGAAGTTCTGGGGCAGGAGGCTTGGCATCATCTCTATGGCCCATAAGCACACTCAGGGATTCTAGAGATTGCACAAAATTAAAGAAATACCATCTAATCCAGACCTCCAATTACTACCTCAAATACTGTAGGTCATTAACTGGGCTCCCTAACTCAAGTCTCATAGAAATTCCTTTCCATTTTCACAGCACTGCCAAATAAAGGGAATGGGGACAGATCCACACATTCCATTTTACCCCTGTGCAATCACTGATTTCTCCCTTTTACCTACCTGATTTGCTGCTTTCAGAGGTTGTGGCTGGGAGAGCTGAGGCTCTAGGGCTGCCAGTGATGGAGACTACATAAACTCCTGTGGTCCCTGAAACCAAGAACAAGAAGGGTGGAGATACATGTTATTCCTGCCATTACTATGAGTACTTGGGAGTTCCCAGAAAAAGAAAGTAAAAGATGCTATCCCTCCAACTTTCTTCAGTACAGTCTTCTAATACCAGTTACAGCCTGAATTTACAGACCATCACGTGCTGTGGGAGAGCACGGTTGGGAGCTGCTGAGACATCATGTCCAACCTGGTTGATCTTACCGGAACCTGTGGCTCCAATACCTGCTTCTCCAGGGGTACTGTCACCTCCGCTTCTGGGGGTTGCTCCAGATGATACACCAGGTTTGCCTGATTTTTTTTAACATGGAAAAATATGTTAGGTTAAAAAAACATGAAGTTAAATCCTCTCATAAAAGTGACCTGAATTATGCTTGCTTTTTTCCTTTAAAAAATAGATCTATCCCATAAATTTCACGGGGTTTTATATTCTTGTTCAAGTAAATCAGATAAATCAGGTAACCCTAATAAGGTACTGATTACAGTATTCCTTTTTAATAAAGTAGTCATGTAGATAATTCAACACTCAACATTGAATAGTTCAACACTGAATTACCTTTTCTTACTAGATTGTCTTATGCCCAGCAAGCACCTTATCCTCACTTGATTAACTCCTGCCTTACTTAGTCTTTGTTGTCCACATCTGTAGGAATATTAATTCCTCCCTCTCCAAAGTGAGGTTGAGTGAGAACAGGTATATTATCTTATTCTTTTCCTATATTCCACAGAGCATCTAACACAATATTAGGCACACAACAAATACCTAATATTTGTATAGTTCTGATCCTCTATACACTTGGCATTACCTAAATAACAATGCTTGGATTCGTCAGGAAACCTTATTTTTACAAAATTTTGAGCAGAAGCCCACATGTCTGCTGGCTGGATTTCATGCTGGTTATGCCACTCTAGTACCTGTTCTTCCAGATGTATTTTCACCAGCAGCTCCAGTGGTGGTTGCATCTGCTCTTCCAGTCGTTCCTAATTAGAAGAACAATGGTGCTTGATGTATACGGAGAGTTATGAAGAAAACACTCTTATAGGACATTTCATAGTGTTAAGTCATTCGTTGCTAAAATGTCCTTGGTTGTCTTTACTTCATCTCATCATCATATTCCAGGGTCTCAGTGAATCAGAACGTGTTGGATCCCCCACCACAGCCCCCAAAGGGGGCTTCGTCTTGCCTGCTGGGTGTCCAGTGCTGGTGGCCCCAGTGCCTGATGCTCCAGGTGTACTGTTGCTGACTGCTCCCTTGCTCACTCCCTCGGATGCTCCAGTTGTACCTGATAAACACAGTCGCAGTGGTTTCAACATATGCTACTTTAGAAGGAAAAGATTGGGAGATTCAAGTAAAAGTTTTAATCTTGAAAATTTTCATCATTTATCCAACAGCCTACATGTTTTGATACTTATACCCGTTTAACAGGCACTAAAGGGTGTTCCCTGGCTTGCCTGATTTTCCTGGGCTTGTAGCTCCATTGCTTGGTTCCCCAGGTGTGCTGCTTTCCTCCCTTCTGGGTGTTGGTGCAGCAGGGCCTCCTGTTCCTCCTGATAAAAAATAGCATTTAAAAAAACGCCTTAGGCTGGGCGCGGTGGCTGACGCCTGTAATCCTAGCACTCTGGGAGGCCAAGGCGGGTGGATCGCTCAAGGTCAGGAGTTTGAGACCAGCCTGAGCAAGAGCAAGACCCCGTCTCTACTAAAAAAATAGAAAGAAAAGATCTGGACAACTAAA